GTATTCTTGATTAGATTGAACATGTTCTCATCTCATTTGAGGCTGTTACACATGGCTGTTCCCAGGTCAGCATTTTGTAAACGTCAAACCTTGTGATCAGGCCTCCCAATGCCAGTTTTAACAATGATAAGTTTGTCTGGTGAGAAAGCCAGAGGAAGCCAGACCTCAGCAGACTATGGTGTCTTATTTCTTCTCATCAACAAGCAGTGCTGTGTTTTGAGTTGTAACCTCTCAGTGTCTGCACCTCATTAGCAACTGAATCTGGATGTTTTAGCTCTACATGTAAATCACAGCTGAGCAACTTGAAGCCCGATCCTACCTCAAATATATTGATTTGTATCGGTCGTTAGATCAAGGTAAACATTGTGATACTAACAGAACTGAACTTATCAAATTGAATACAGCAGGGATTTAGCAAACTCAAGGAGTTTACCATTCCTTTATTTTAGGTACTGTATAGGTGCACCTGCTTGAACCACACTATATTTACATTTTCAATGGCAAATAAACACATCTTTTGTCTGGTGATGGTTGGAATATAATATTGTATTAACATTTTAGGAATCATTCTGTTATTGATGTAAATCTGCCTAATTTTCTGTTTTCAGATATATCGATAGATAGATAGGTAGATATAGAGAGAGATAGATGGATGGATGGATGGATGGATGGATGATGGATGGATGGATGGATAGATAGGTAGATAGATAGATAGATAGATGGATGGAGGGATGGATGGATAGATGGATAGATAGAGAGATAGATAGTTAGGTAGGTAGATAGATGGATAGATGGATGGATAGATAGATATATAGATAGATAGATGGATGGATGGATAGATAGATAGATAGATAGATAGTTAGGTAGGTAGATAGATGGATAGATGGATAGATGGATGGATGGATGGATGGATAGATGGATAGATAGAGAGATAGATAGATAGATAGATAGATAGTTAGGTAGGTAGATAGATAGATAGATAGATGGATGGATGGATGGATGGATAGATGGATAGATGGATAGATAGAGAGATAGATAGATAGTTAGGTAGGTAGATAGATGGATAGATGGATGGATGGATGGATAGATAGATGGATAGAGAGATAGATAGTTAGGTAGGTAGATAGATGGATGGATGGATGGATGGATGGATGGATGGATGGATGGATGGATGGATGGATGGATGGATGGATGGATAGATAGATAGATGGATAGGTAGTCAATGTTACATGATAACAAATGAAGAACATTCTCCAAGCAACATGCAGAGGATGTTTTCAGGATGTTATTGAGGCCTGAGATGACAAAGTGTTTTATAAAATGTTCCTTTAATGTGATATGTTAACAAAGGTGGAAAGTTTTGCCTCCAACATTCTAAGGATGTGTTTTGGACGTTGTTGGGTAACACATTAAAGATGTTCTTTATAAAACATTCCCTCAATGTTACATGATAACCAAAGAAGAACATTTTGAAAGCAACATTTGGATAATGTTTTCAGGTTATTCTATTTTATAAAACGTTCCTGTGATGCGAAATATTAACACGGTCATGGTCAACGTCAGATTTATTTGTAGTGCGCTTTAAAAAATAAACTTGTTGCATTTGTTTGAAAAGGATGTTTAAAAAAATCTGATGTCACCACATTTTCCTTTTTTTTTTTAAAAACACAAACATGCAATTCATGATATTGCATGTTTGCGTTCCCAGCTAGACATTGTTGGTTCTAAAAACATTCTGAGAATGTTACCATTCATTGTTCTAGGAATGGTTTCATCGAGAAGTTTTATTTTGGTTCCTAGAATGTTCTTCTGAAAGGTAGGATAACGTTCTCTAAAAACATTCTTAAAATGTTTGGTGATAACATTGTTCGAACATTATGCCCCAAGTGTTTTTGTTGTTGCACATATCTCTATTGCCATATGGATCGAATAACACTTAGAAAACCAAAGACAGACATATAGAAGAACGGACCGACTATCACTGCCCGTCCCTGAAACCCCTGTTAGTGTTTGTATGTGTTTGTTTGTACTGTGTGTAAACCCCCCCCCCCCCCCCCACCTGCCTGCTGGTCTGCTCTACACGGCTGGGAGTAATCACCAATTACCAGAGGTGGGACCAAGTCATTGTTTTGCAAGTCCGAGTCAAGTCTCAAGTCTTTGCGCTCAAGTCCAAGTCAAGTCTCAAGTCAGGTTGGGCAAGTCCAAGTCAAGTCAAGTCCTAAACTTTGACAAAACGAGTCATAAACAAGTCATTATGTGTTTTTCACCAAATGTAATGACATTGATCAACAGAATAATACTTAATAATCAAATTGCTCTTTATTAGTCACATTAATAATTTAATAATCCATTTTCTCTCTGCTGGTAAAGTAACGTGTTTTTTTCTAATTTAAGAGGGATCAGTAAGGTTAGGCTACCGTGACGGTTTGATTCAGAAGGAGTTTAATGGATAAGATCCCTGATGTTGAGGTAACCAGAATGTTTATTTCCACTGTGTACAACATGTTGTAAGGGACCCACAATCTATCTTTATGCAAGGGATAATGTGCAGCGAGGCGGTCTCTATGGGGAAGAGAACACCTGCATCTAGATCCCTCTGCAGGTGGTACTTTAAGTATATTTTGATGCTAATACTTTTGTACTTTTACTTGTAACATTTTGAATGCAGGACTTTTTATTGTACAGGGTTCCTGCAGGTTTCGGCAACTCAAATAACACCTTTTTAAGACCACTTTGAATAGAATTTAAGACCTATTTCACGGCAATAAAGTATGAAGGAAAATGTATATGAAAGAAGAAATACGTCCCATAATCACTTACAAAGTAAATGTATTCATGTTCAACATAAGAACAGTGATTGAACATAACAGCATAACAGTACAGAACTGTGTTAGCGTGTTAGACAAAAAGTGCATATGTGTGTGCTTGAGTGTGTGTGTGTGTGTTAGGGCTGTGCAATTAATCATATTTTAATCGCAATTACGATTTTGGCCTGCCACAATTACGAAAACAACATAATCGGAAAAAACGATTATTTTGCTTTGCTAGGTTGTGACAGTGCACTACAACATATTTGATCTAATGAATTTTTTAGTAATGTATAATTTAATTAATTTTTGTATTGGTTTTTCAGTTGAATTATACGTTCAGGGTATTCAACAGTTAAAAAGATACTGTTCAAATTATTATTTGTTTTAAAGTTCAATAAATGGATGTTTTCAAAGTCAATGAATAATCATATTTAATAATCGTGATATTAATTATTGACCAACATAATCTTGATTATTGCCATAATCGAGCAGCCCTAGTGTGTGCGTGTGTGTGTGTGTCTGAGAGAGAGTGACAAGAGCTATATTCAGAGCTCTGCTGCCTTGGTTACACTATTTCATCGTTGCTGTTGTATGATTGGTGTTTAGCTACGGTATTTAGCGTCTACAGCACCTCCGCTTTAGGGTTGACGTAGACCCAAACTTCGCCCGGAGGTCCCCCGGTGTTGTTGCGGGAGCTGCTGCATTAGCTGCTGCTGCACTAGCTAACGCTGCACTAGCTAACGCTACATTAGCTGCTGCTGCACTAGCTAACGCTACATTAGCTGCTGCTGCACTAGCTAACGCTACACTAGCTAACGCTACATTAGCTGCTGCTGCACTAGCTAACGCTACATTAGCAAAAACAAACACTAATTTATTTTGCAAAAGGTGCAGCGGGCTTCAAACACGTTCCCCCCCCACTGGTTTCAACCAAGCACTAAATTAGATGTTTTCCAACCAAATACTACGGTGGCCGGCAGGTGCAAACGCGGAACAACGGCCCAAAACGCATACATAAGCAGGAAACACCTGCAAATAATGAAATGAATAACAAACAAACCCTGAAAACAATACAAAACAGAAAAAACGCTGCTTTACAGAAATGTTGCAAACTAAATACAACACACAAACCCCGAAAACAAACGCAACAAAAAAACGCTGCAAATAGCAAAATGATATGCAAAGTCCAAAGCACGTACAAATCCAAAACACATACAAAAAAAACATTCCGGAAGTGCTCCAGGCCTCTAGGGGGCGCGCTACGTGGAACAGATTGATGTCTGACCAGACATAGAGAGAACGAACAAGAGTGATGGAAATCGAGAGTAAAGAAACTTCATTAAGTGGAGAAAGATATAAAAAGGTACGTTTTGTTTTAATACATAGAGCGTCATATTTATATAGCTAGCGTTAGCGTGCCTAACTACTACACCAGCTGAGGAGAGGAGAGCTTCACGTGAAGAGAAGATAAAGCGAGGGGAAGAACATTTTAAAGAGATGACAAATCAAGTGCAGGCAAATAACACGGGCCATAGTGAGTACCGCGGAAAAAGGTCATTTGAATTCTTAGCAGTTTGTTTATATGTTATATATGTGTGTATAGATGTTGCAACTATACAGAGCTTTAGCAATTACCTGTAACTATGGTCATGCTAATAAAGCTATTGAATTGAGAGAGATGTGACAACATGTGAAGAGGGACAAAGTAATGACAGGAGAGTAGTGTGCATTAGACATGCTCAGAAACAAATATAGAGACATTCAAGGAGAGAGAGAACACAGATTCAACGGTAAACATGATGTATCTTTCTATTTATTTAGCTAACCACTATTTAGACTATGTGTTTTGATTAACTTGATTAATGGATTTACTACATCAATGTATGTCTTTTCAAGGGCCTTTCTGTGGCCAGCATCTGGGGACAGTTTCAAGTGTTTCTGTGGCTCCTGTGGCAAACATGTACATTTTTGGCAGAAGTTGAACACAACAGTAAGTTCACTTTTTTATTGTATCTGTTTCAAATGCAAGAAATAAGGATTCAACACACTACTTCTGTTTAGAATACTAATTGGCAGATGCATACACTATTATCAGCATGAAGGACACATTTTTTCATGTCTGTTTATGTGAAATATGTAGAAGCCATCATTAAATTGTAGACCAATGCATGATTAAATACACAAAACAGCTTATATTATACATTCATAATTGTGTATTAGTTATATCTTTATAGAGAACATTATATATTTAGAATCAGATTTTGAGACAGTGAGCGGCTGGGAAAGTCACACCGCCATGGGGCACAAACAGTTGCTGACGTGATGTTTTCTTCATTCTCAGGCATTCCATAAGGAGGGTCAGGAACTCACGCTTGGGACCACCATTGTCCCCTCCATCCTCAGTGTGTCCCTCATCATCAGTGAACTTAACTGACGTCTCATGAGGGATCGAATGAGCCACCTTTGAAGCCGCGGATTGCTCCATCGCACACACTGGCTCTATTAATATTGAACCTGCTGCAAGATGTATTTGTTATTTTTGCAGAGAGTTCTGCAACAATGTGTGCCGCAGTCAGGTATTCTGTGCTGGGAAAGACAAAGTGATGTATTGTAATATTAAATGATGAAGCTAGTAATAAGATTTACAGAATAGAATAGAAAAATTAAGTGGTAATAGTAACAATTAATACCTTTGCTCCATTGTGTCTTCTGGCTCAGACTGGCTATCAATAATGAGAAGTGCATACACAGTTGTGTAGTTGCTGCAGTGAGAAGACAGTTGAATAATTACTTTCAAATACCTAATATATGCATGACAGTCATATTTACAAAAGGATGTCGATCCTCTTCCTGTTTTTTCAATACATTGGGTTCTAAACTGACAACAGCACTTTTGTCATACTCCTGCACAATCCTTGTAAACATTTGAAATGGATGCAACAAAAAATATCTGATCTTTGAAAAATATTTGTTGGTGTTTTTGTATTGTCTTCACTAAGATGTCAGATGTTGTGGGTGTCATTTGGAAATGTATAAAAGTATAATTGTTCTGCTTCCTGGCAATGTTACCCACTGTGATTGGAGGCTATACAAACAAACAAATGTAAATAAAGATACACAGCAAACAACTGTGTCACGATGCAACTGTCAACCTCGTTTACCTATAGAAGTGGTTCTGACCCGGGGCAGACTGGACCTCTTCCTGGAATGGGGTTGGTGCTCCATCCTATTTTTACCCAGGAAATAAGTGCACACAAAGGTATTTATTGATTTCATGTTCACAAATTCAAACCTACATGGTATAATTACATTTGTAATTAGTCTTACCCGATCAGACGCTGGTTGTGGGTGCCTGAGAGGTCTGATAAAGGTTAACAACAAATATATTCAAACTACTGTACTGTTAAAACATTCTGCTTCTTGTGGCACAAAATAATATGTTGAAAATGTTTTATTTTACCCTGCAAACTGTTGTCCATTCGTGGAGTGCTCACTTTTGGAACATTTGGAATGTCCCACACCTGCATACAACACACAAATGACTGACTGAAATAAAAATAAATTCACTTTAATTAAGAATAAATGCCACGATAAATCCAAACTGACCAAGGTACATTATATTGTTGACCGTCCTTTAACTCTCACATTAGGATTTACATTGAAGCACAATAAACCAACTCCTCTCTGCACCTATAATATATCTATATGATGTCAAGAGTTACATTTAGGTGCACAGACAGTGCTGTCTCTTGACTTGCAAGCTCTTTCACATTCACCAAACAAGCTAACGCTAGCTGGGTAAATATGACGCTCTTTGTATCAAAACAAAACTTACCTTTTTATATATCGTCTTTTTCCACTTCGATCAACTTCGTTTCCTCCGGCTTCAATTTGCAGCACTCTTGTTCGTTCCCTCTATGTCTGGTCAGACATCAATCTGTTCCACGTAGCGCGCCCCCTAGAGGCCTGGAACACTTCCGGAATGTTTTTTTTTTTGTATGTGTTTTGGGATTTGTATGTGCTTTGGACTTTGCATGTCGTTTTGGTATTTGCAGCGTCATCATTTTGTTGCGTTTGTTTTCGGGGTTTGTGTGTTGTATTTAGTTTGCATCATTTCTGGAAATGCAGCGTTTTTTGGTTGTATTTGTTTTCAGGATTTGTTTGTTTTTCATTTCAGGATTTGCAGCTGTTTCCTGCTAATGTATTTGTTTTTGGCCGTTGTTCCGCGTTTGCACCTGCCGGCCACCGTAAAATACGGTTGAACTGACACTTCCCCATATTTATTTGTAAGTAGATTCGAAGATAGGCTACATGAGCTGAAGCTTGGTTGCTAGGTTACTAGCTGGGTGTTCTCCAATAAGGGGCCGGGGGAAACAAAGTTAGTGATTACTGGTTCCATGTTGATTTAATTCAATACAAATTCTTGGGGGGAACTGAAAGGCTATTACCGCACTGGTTACTTTGCAGCCCGGACATTTCCCCCAAAACACATTTAGACGCTATCGCAACATAGAAGTACCTTTCAAATCCGATAATTTTTAAGACCTTCTGAATCATATTTAAGACCTTTTTAAGGCCTTAAATTCTGATTATCAAATGTAAGACTTTTTAAGACTTATTAAGACCCCGCGGGAACCCTGATTGTAACTTTTTTTAATTGTCTGAACTTCTCCCACCTCTGACAATAAATCCTGAGTGGTTACCAAAAAAAAACCCTGCTCTGAAGGTTATTTTCATTTTACAAATCCTGCACTCAGCTTTGCTTTCTCCAATATCATTGAAAAGCAGCCAGATGCTGCTTATTTTTTCGGGTTTCGCTAATTTCTTGACTTTTTCCGACGCGCTTGCATTTAAATCCGGCTCCCCGTCGCTCTGTGCAGCTGGCCTGTACCCAGGGGCGGCGGGTGCTGTAGGCTAGGGAAGGCTAAGCCTTCCCAAATATTTGTGTAACTGCATCCTGGTAAAATACAAATATAATGTCTTTGACATTAGCGCTGCTATGCAGCCACCTGTGCCCTGTACCACGAAGCCAGTTCAACATACCCTGGATATGCTTGAGTTATCTTAACTAACCCTAACAAACGCGATCTCGCGGTTATCAACTCGGTAAATCAAGCCAGGGTTTCTCTCTCCAGCTGAGAACGCGTTCACGTGAAAGGGGCGGGGTTAGCTACATTTGACCAATCACAAACAGGGACAAGTGTACTGACAGCGCAACATCATACTTCATTAATGAAAAGTAAACTAATATTAGACAAATATGAACTTTAAACATCCATGATGACTTAAACATATAATCCAGGATACAAGCCACATAGTTGCACCTGCAAGGAGAATACAGAACAACTCGTTAAAAAATAAACTACCGTGTTTGAAAGCGTACAACAGTTTTATGATACTGCCCCATCTAAAACACGAGGGGATCTGACTTTATTACATTTGAGTTGAGTGTTTCGTCAACTTAATGTGTTGCTTAAAATAATACGTCTGCATACAGTATATGTGACAATGTAACTAAGTGTTGTACGGCCAGATACGGCTCGAGAAGCTGACTCAGATAAGGACATATTGTGATATCGATGTGAGATCGATGATGTGATGTCAGTGTGATATGAATGATAAGTGTGACACGTCGGCGTCTACTCTGCATACGGCAGTTTAAACTGCATTTCCTTTTTCCTGTAATATGACTTGATAGATTTAAACTCCGCACACTGAGCTCTGATCGGTCAGCAGGCGGTGCTTTCACTGAGTTGATCTCTTTTCTATAGACGCCGGAGGCGGGCAGCTTAAGATGAAAAAAAAAAGTTATTTAGCCTTCACAAACCTGAGCCTCACGCGCCGCCTATGCCTGTACCACTACACATGCTGTTTCCCCCACCCTTCTTTCACATAATGGTATGATCCTAGTGTGTCCTCGCATATGATTGGCCGCATGGTGGCCCAGCTAAATAAAGTCCCGCCCCTGCCTGCAAGGATTCTCAGCAAGAGTAGGAGCGGCTGAAGATTCTGCTTTCCCCGACGGGAGTCTGCTCTTCTAGCGGTAGCTCGCGATCGGCGTGTTGGAGACCTCTGAATTAAAGTAGCAAGTCACCTCAAGTCAGAAGGCTCAAGTCCAAGTCAAGTCCCGAGTCTGACTCGAGTCCAAGTCATGTGACTCGAGTCCACACCTCTGCCAATTACCCACACCTGCAACCCGCTCATCAGCCACACTATGAAAGCCTGCAGCCTGCACTCATTCCCTGCATTCCCGGTTTGTTGCGTGCCGCTCTAGCTTTTTGCCAGCATATTCTTTGACAACTTTGCCTGCTTTTCCCTCACTCTCATTGTTGTGTCTCTCCCAGGAGGAATCCAAGGCCTGCCACACTCCCAAGACCAGCCAGGCCTCTATACCCACCCTGGAACAACTGTTTCCCACTGCCGCCATAACCAACCTCCACTCCCAGCTCCCCTTTTCTAATAAACAAATGTTACTTTCACCAGCTGTTTCCGAGTCATCCTTTTAATGCAAAAGCATACAGAAATGTAACATTTAGCTGTTGTTTTAAAGCTTTTTTATGGGAGTAAAAGTTAATTGTGCTCCTTGGAAATAGAACACGTTGGGGCTGTGAATTTTTTAATGACAAGAAAACACTTTCAAAGTAAAAGTTCAACCAAAAAAAATGAAACCGCACAGAAAAATCCAACCTTTAACTGTTGTTTTAAAGCTTTTTTTGGGAATAAAAGTACATTTAGCTTCAAGGAAATAAAAATGTTGGGGTTCAGGGTTCTTAGATGATCGAGCATTAATATATGATATCTTATAAGTAGCAGTTTTATAGAATTTAGCAGCTATTATTGTAAAAGTAACCTCTTGAATCTCCTAAGAAATGACGATCATAAACGTGATTTTCCTATAACCTCTTAAGTACGTCTTTTGTTTGTTACTTTTGATTCGTAACTACATATTTGTCATTACTGAGTTTTTGAAAATCAAGAAATTGCAATAAGCAAAAATCTGCTGTCCTGTGGAAAAGGAAACAGAGATGGATGAATATAGATTAAGTGAGAAGGCAAAGTGTCATTGAAGGACGGAACATCTTGGTACGCTATACATAGGTTTGTACTTTTGAGTGATGAAGGTAAGGAAAGTATGGATTAGGAATGTGTGAAGGTATAGATGTGACTGAGCGGACAGCTGTGTGTGTTTATAGTCCTCGGCTCAGCACACATGCTTGTAAATACTTATTATCTGACCCTGAACTAAAGTGTCTGGCATCTGCACACAATTAGGCATCCCAGTTTCACAGAGAGAGGGGGGGCGATGCACTTGCATAAGCATCACGAAGACATAAAGTACAGACTATCATGATGACATCACAGAGGAGCAAAATGTAACCCAGTGGTGTAAATTAAAAGGGCACAAATGGCCCTTTAGCACCCATCCTCGAACTTTACCTTCATTTCGAGTCTGCATCTTGCAAAGCTGTAATGCTCCAAAGAGGTGAAGTGAATAAGTCTTTATTAAACTAACCATGGATGTTAGCATTGACTAAAGCCTTTGGACTTTTTTCATTAGATTTTGGGTTAGTGCAGAAACAAACGTATTTAGTTCAGCAGGATAATCTCCACATATTAACACCACTTTATGATTTCTGAAGTGAAGACGGCTAATGTTGGGCTATAAAGGAACTACAGCACGGTCACATGACTTCACGTCACCGCCGCTAAGCTAAAGGTGGCTAATGTTGGGCTATAAAGGAACTACAGCACGGTCACATGACTTCACGTCACCGCCGCTAAGCTAAAGGCAGCTAATGTTGGGCTATAAAGGAACTACAGCAGGGTCACATGACTTCACGTCACCGCCGCTAAGCTAAAGGCAGCTAATGTTGGGCTATAAAGGAACTACAGCAGGGTCACATGACTTCACGTCACCGCCGCTAAGCTAAAGGCAGCTAATGTTGGGCTATAAAGGAACTA